AAAATATTTTTGCAAATCATAAACACTCTCATGATCAAGCATATCAAAGGTTTCATATTCTCTAGTAAGAGCATTTTGTTTAGACCTCTTAACTTCATTAGTACCCTCATGTGTGAGTTCTAAAACTTTCCACATCTCCTTAGCAGTTTTACAAGAAGAAATCCTAAAAAGTACTCATCTCTACCTAGAGCATTAGTTATAAGATTTTTAGCTTTAGCATTGCCTTGAGCTTCCTTAAGTTCTTGATTGTTAAACTCTTTAGCCTTTTTAGGAATCTTATTACCATCATCACTCAAAGTAGTAGGAATTTCATATTCCTCTTCAACACTAGTCCAAACCCTAAGATCAACCAATTCTAAAAAAATTTGCATTCTTGATTTCCAATAAGGATAATCAGTTCCATTAAAATAAGGTGGCCTATTGGTTGAACTACCCTCTTGAGACAAATCATTATTTAAGCTAGCCATTATTTATGGATCTTTATCTCTAGGTGGTTAAACCTAAAATAGAGAACTTAAGCTCTGAGGTCAATTGTAAAGAAAGAATGGCTAAATAATAACACAAGAGTGGGGATAATTGTGTTTTAAACTTTTTTTACAATTAAATCAAAATTTAAAACCTAAGAATCCTTTTTAGAAAACATGCAAAAAAAAGACTTAATAAAAATTTCCAAACCCTAAAAATAAATTCATATTATCAAGAATAATGAATTAGAGAAGAGTAATGCAGCGATAAATAAAAAAGTAAGGGAAGAGAAAATAACACCAAAATTTATCCTGGTTCACTCTCTACCACTGAGAGCTACATCCAGATTGAGGCAGATCTTTCCACTCTCATCATGCTTTCAATTGGTGCTTGAAGCAACCATTTTACAAGAGGAGTTTTACAAGACCAGTGATCTTCACTCAATCACGCTCTACCTAACCCTAGGATCACTCCCTTTGAACCAACACAATTGGAATTTTACAAGACCGTAACCAACCCCTTGATCACTCTTAACATAAATCCTAGGATCACTCCAATTGAACAACCATAGCAAAAACGATCTCCCAATTTCAAAACAATAAGTAAAAACAGATAATATAGGAAGAAGAATAATTATAGAGCTTTCTCTCTCTAGAACTCAAGTTTATGCAAAAATCATATTCATGAGTGATTCTGACTCTAATGCATGTAATATTACGCTCTTTCTTGTTTCTGAATCCTAAAACATGAATATATAAAACCCAAGTGATATATAAAAAGATACAAAAAGATTTAATTCAGATTTAAAAAATTATTACATGACCCCCGAAATATATCTGAATATATTTGAATCTGTATTCGGATATTCTGGGCAGAGATATCTGGATACCATATCCGGATATACAGTTCATCTATCCGGATATTTAATGACAGCAATCACAAAATCATCCGAATTTGATCTAACTTAGTTCTAAATGATCTTTTATCACTTCTCACACATGAAGGCATGTTCTTAGCAACAATCTAATAGTTGGTCATGTGTGTGAGACTTGTATGCATGAGATATGTTACTAAATAAAGGTGTTCGCGATCTGGATTGGATCAGTTTTGGAAGAAAAATTATCTGATCCAATCCCTTCGGATTAATCATGTTATCATCCAACGGGTTTGGATTTTTTTTAAATCTGATCCGATCCAATTCAATTTTTTTCGGTTTGCTTTGGATCGATTTTCGGTTTTTAAAAATCCTAAAATTAGTTTCATGATTATTTTGCAAATAACATCTTTTGTATATATTGGCTTTATAATTTTTTTTTAAATACAAAAGTATAAATATAGTTTTTGTTTTGGGTAATGAGATATGAAGCTCTACACAAATGAAATTTTGTTGATGAGATGTGACTAGATTTTTTCAATTTTTCTTGGGTTTAGAAATTTTTGGGCTATGATTGAGGGAAGACTCAAGTAGGTATAAGAGAATTAATATATTGTGTCGGTTTGGATTGGATCAGTTTTCATCAACCAATCCAAAAACTGATTCAATCTAATTAAAATTTGCGATTTTTTTTCGATTTTCGATTTTTCGGTTCGGTCACCGCGGTTTGGATCGATTGATGAACACCCCTATTACTAAATGCAATCTAGAGAGATATAAGCTAAATAAACTCAACTTCATACATTCAAAGACTTCAAAAGTATATGACACATCAACTGAATACAAGTATTCAATTATCTTCAAGTGTCTTCATCCTTTGAGTCTTCTAGGTCTTTTCTTCACTTGAATACTTTGACTTTGAAGTTGACTTTGCACAATTGAATCATTTCTTCACTTTTGCATGTTGCCTTGGTCTTCTAGAGATATTTGAGACTTGTCACATTGTCTTCTAAGTTGTACATCCATGTTAAGCTTGTTGGTGCTTTGTAATAATCAAAACTTCAACTATGTAGGCTTTGAAACCTTTGGCTTAACAGATCCATCCTTAAACATATATTTTCAACCATATTATAAACCAAAAGAATGCATTCAATCAATCATTTGGTAGGAAATAAGACTAGGTTAGCAAACTAGTCAATTTTGCCAATATTCTTTGATTTTCCAATCAATTTAACATACCTTTGACTTTTATTTAATTGAAATTTGACCTAATTTTATAAATTAATCCAAACATAATTAGATCAATTTAAGATCACTTCTGGTCATCAAAATTATATGGTGAATTTAATTGCACAATCAAAATTAAGCTTAGGCCATTATTTTTCCTTTTTGCAATTTATCCTTATACTTTCACATATTTATATTTTGACCCCTAGACTTTAGCAATATCCTCATTTAGGTCTAATTTATCTTACTTGACATGAATTATATCATCACAAATTTTAGCATGTCAATTCATTCATTTACTCAACAAAACTCACATCAAAGGCTTACTTATTCCAAAGCTAGTGTAAACTAGTAATCATTCTTATTATCCTTTTATAATTTCAAGATTTGTTAATAAGAATTTTTATATAAATGGCCTGAAAAAACCCAACGGGTAATTAGCAATCCCATTATAAAGAAAAATGTTATTAACATTCATTTTTTGAACAAATCATATAATCCTACGATTTCATTGACTAATAAGGTTATCAAATGAATTGAAATTCTAACTGATACAATAAAAAATGATAGATGAGTTAATATATGCTCTAAAGTTGAAAATATCATATAAAAATGCATAAATAAAAATATATAAAAGGTCTGAATACTAGGAATAGAAAGAATATATATATATATATATATATATATATATATATATATATATATATATATATATATATAAGGAATTGAATTCAGTATAAATAAGGACTTACTCTTTTAGAAGATAGAAGATAAGATGTCATGCCGCTACTCAGACTCGAACCAAGATGCTATAGCACTGCTTCCTAAGAGCAACATGTCTACCAATTTCGCCATAGTAGCTTACTCAAAATTATAATAACCTATTTTTAGTCAATCGTCGAGAATTAAATGCATCTCTATTTTTCAATAAAAGAAAAATAGTCAACTTACCGATTAAAAACATAGTACTTCATTCAAACAATTTTTGTATTTTTTTTAATATCACTAAAAATAATAATATAAATAATCTAATAGTAGAATTTAGAGTAATATCCTAAGGAATATGAGATGGTATTCTAAATCGTATTAAGAATATATACATTCAATATTTTATCCTTATTCTACATCAATATTAAAGAAAATTCCGTGAATCGAGCTAATTTAGATTATTTTATTTTCTCCCACCAATATTTGTTTTTATTAGAAACAAAACTTTTTAAGTTCCCTTTAAAAAGAGATTGGGCTAATGAAAAAGCTTTCAATGTTGTCCAATATCCCTTCTTTTTCCAAAAAGTGTTTGGAATGATTCTTTTCGATGTGGATGTGCACTTTTTTGGAACTACCATCCAACTCGAACCTCCTTGTTTTCTATATAAAGTAAAACTTTATAGATTATAACACACTTTTTAAAAAATTGGAACTCGCTTTCAAATTGTTTCCCAACATGGATATCTTTTTATTGTAATGAAAAATAATCAATTCTTTCAAAAATACACTAACGTTTTTGAATAAGAATTCTTATTTTATTGTATCAATGTTATATGAATTTTTGCTTATTCATAGTAAACAAAAAAAAATTTCATTTTATTTTGGTTCACAATTATTTATCTATAATCCAAAATAAAAAGGAATTTTTTTATTTTACAAAATTCGTTTTATTTTATTGAAATAAATTATTAAAAACAAAAAAGTCTATTTTTTATTTACCGAGAATTTTATTATTGGCCCATTTTTACTTTAAATTGGAGGCATTGTGCAAATATTGAACTGTTCAATTTGTATTAATTATTAAACGAACCTTTTACAAAAGAGATAAAACAAAATTCGCAAATAAGTATCAAAACTCATTAAGAATCAACAAAGTATTTTTTCTTTTCTTTTTATGGACTATACACATCAATCTTCATGGACCATCCTTTTCATTAAGAATCAACATAGGGATTGGACTTCTACTGTTTTTCCTGTGGCAACTAAAAATCTGCCTTTCCTAGTATTTTTTTGCTAACTATAATTACAATTTACTCGGTCGATTTGTCTATTCATCAAATCCATAAAATTTCTATATATCAATATGTATGGTCTTAGACTATAAATGTTGATCTTTCTTTAGAGTTTGGATATTCCATTGATTCACTTACTTCTATTATGGAATTGGTAGGAATGTGTTCTTATGTATTAATAGGCTTTTGGTTCAGACGTCCTATTGCCGCAAATGCTTGTCAAAAGGCGTTTGTAACTAACTCATGTTCACAGCTACCCGGAATACCATGTGCTTGCATTCTAGCTAATTTATATGAACAAATAAAGGGCTCTGCACATGGTCCAATGAAGGGTAAATTGGATCAACATGTGCCAAAACTCCCATTCTAATTTATATCAACAAATAATAATAAAAAATTAAATGGCCAAGAGACTATTAGAGTAACAATGTACTTCATTTTTCATCTACAGAAAAGTCTGGTTCTGCTGGCTTTTGCAAAGAGCTGCTGACAACTCCAGAATGCTTATTGACACCTTTCCTAATGCTCCTCGCGACCCTTGTTGCATAAGATGTTGATGTTGATGTTTCAGATTCAGCAACTGCGAGATTCTCCTCGGCCTTCAGTTCAGCAACTTCCTTCCTTTTCTTATGCCTTCTCCATGCAGCTTGAATGAAACAAGCTGCCCATGTTCTCCATTGGTGTGAGTAAAACCTGAATCTATGTCTGAGTTGTTTAGTGTGTAGTCTTCTAAATTGAGATGCAACAAACTTTAAGTCTTCGGCTATGAGTGCAAAGGCCTCTACTTCTGAGATGGCTTTAACTGTTCGAGTTGAAGAAGGGAGTATTACACTTGTTCGTGGGTCCAATGCCCATGTTAATAGTTCCTCACCACAGAAATCACCTGCACCAACATGGCATGAGTTGAAGAATCCAACTCGGCCTCCATTGGTGGTGTAAGAATCAAGATGGCCTCGAATTATGAAAAGCATCTCATTCACAGGATCACCCTCACGAACAAGATAAGTGCCCTCAGTGCACAACGCAGGCTTTAGCCTTTCACATATTGCGACTAGCATCCTCTCATCCATTTGATCAAACAATGGCACCTGTTAATAATGAGTTAGTTAATGAATAACTTCAATTGTAGTATTAATATTACTAATATATATATATATATATATATATATATATATATATATATATATATATATATATATATGAGGTAGGATCCTTGGCCCCCGGGGTAAATTTTGAAATTTGACACCTCATCTGAGAGTCGTTAGATCACCGTTAGATCAAAAAAGATCAACGGCTCTGATTTGTAAGCATATGACACCGTTGATCTTTTTTGATCTAACGACTCTCAGATGAGGTGTCAAATTTCAAATTTGACACTGGTGTCAAAGGATCCTTCCTTATATATATATATATGGACTTTGGTTTTGTCCTGTTACAGGAATAATTTTTTTTTTTTTCTATAAAGAAAACGACAAACTAGATGATAATAAAGAAAGTGAAAGATACATTGAATTCAAAGACTTTGTATTGTCGGTAGTGATTGCATGATGTCAATTTGTTTCCTGTAACATAATTCTTATTTATCCCTATATATAGAGAGAGAGGTAAAATCATTTCTGCAGCAGCTCTACGTACAACAACTACAGGTGTATGGTTATGATTCTCCACATTTAATGCTTTCATCCTTTGTATGATTACAATACCTCGCATTTAATGTTTTCAAGTATATAGATGGCAAGTATTTGATTGTTGTATGTACAGCAGCTGCAGAAATATAAACTCCATATATATATATATATATATAATGCAAGCAAGATTTTCACTTTCAGAAGTGGATGTTCTTAAATGTAAATCATGGTATGGATTGAGAGCTTTCTTATAAATAAACAAATACAATTAAATTTGATGTTACACTCATGACTTACTCCTCGAACTAGTTCAAGACAAAGGTGGCGCTTGATGTCTCTCCGAAGATCCACTGGAAGTCCTTTGAGAAGAGCTTCTTCATCTACCCCACGTGTAGCCAGCCATTTATATTGATCATATTTACGCACAGATTGTCTTAGTTCTGGAGGTAGTTGCCTGTGATGCATCCATTGTTCTGTATCAGTTCTTTTCACCCTCCACTCTTCTAAGCGAGCTGTTGTTGATTGGAGGTATGTCTGCAAAATTCAAGTTCTATATTGGTACGCCTTATTGAATAATGTCAATTCAGACTGATGAATTTTTGTGCTACAGTTCAATTTGGGAAACTAAAATTACAACAGAGTGAATGTTTGTGTTTCTCAGATAGGACTTCTGAGTAAGATATGGAGAATGTACTTTAGTCAAGCAATGTGTTTCCTGTTGTACATTTAAGGCTATCTTGTAACTGATTCATGCAAATAATTAAAGTTTTCTTAAAAGAAAAATCTCAGAATGTAACAAATGAGAGCGAAAAGCAATCTACTTTCTGCATAAAAAATAAAGTAGCCTCAGTCTCCATGCAATTATGGGCTTAAGTCATGTCTTAAACGACACAAAAGACTAGCAAGTTAAAGTGTCGGCATTTGGACTAGAATCTTGAGTTGGAGAAATGTTTGGGGTATGACCAAAAGTATGGCCTTAAATCTTGGATTACAGCACTCGACCCAAAAGGTTAGCTAGTTAGTCTTGTCCCATACAAGCTTATAAGGGCACTTTACTATTCTCCAATCTCATAAAAAGGCTAGCCAATTAATTGTTCGCATTTGAACTTGAATCTTGGTAAGTGTTTGGGGCATGATAAAAAGTATGGGCTTAGATATTGGATTAGATAACTAGATACAAAAGACTAGTGTTCGTGTTCCATACAAGCTGATAAGATTTTTATCATTATCCAATCTATCTAATGTGAGATTTCCCACTTCCCCTTATACTCACACACGTGCTCTCTTATCTAAAACATTAAAAATGTATGGGTAATACATCACATTTTCAAGACATTCAGAGAGAATATCTGTCGTATGTGCAAAGCAGTTCTAGGCTAAGAGACATAATTTAACTTTCTTACCTGCATATTACCAATGAGCAACCCAAAAAGAACCAATCCAAGGGTTGCAACCACAATGGCGACCATGACTTCTCCAACAAAAGTGCTAGTAAGAAGGCCTTGTCCCAAAGAACTGCACCGTCCAATCACAAAAGCATTAATGCGCAAGGGATAAAAGAGCCTATAGTGAGTCATGGGTACAACTAGTTGAGAAAATCTTCTCTATTTGATAGGGAAGAGGAAAGAGAAAAATATTTCCTTCATTTTATCAAGGTTTGTAGGAACTAGGAAGTCATCATTATCTTTTCCTCAACAAAAGATGTTAAAAAAGAACTAGAGAAGTGAGTAGCATTTTGGATTTTGGAACATTAGGATTGAATGATGCTGATTTAAGATTAAAATTGAAATGTTTTGAATAAAGCAAGGTGATAATCTAATTCTTATAATGCTTAACTCAGGTGGAAATATGATAACAAGGTAGAATCGCTCCATAAGACTTACCTCAGATTCCTTAGGCCCCACCACAGGCAAAAGAAGTACTTATTAAAGAATGGCGAGGATGTAACTTGGAAAGTCACAGCATCAGCGTATATACCAAACTGATAAAAGTCAGCATTTGGTGAGCATAAATTTGTGACATTACTTGCTATAAACCAGGAGCCCCTAAGAGCTTCATTAACCCTGTGACAGTCAAAGAATCCATACTGACAAGATGACTTATCCATATCGCAGACACTTCTCCAGCATGCTTCTTGACGTTCGATTGCTAGAAGGTACCAGCAAGCTCCTAAAATCTGTTTAGAATATTTCCCATCCAAAATTTAAAGTATGAGTAATGATTTTTTCTGTTTTATTAATTTAGTTTGTATATGCTTAGTTTGCCAACAAAAAAAATTCCATAACAGCCATTCCTGTAGAAAAATTTCAAGATTAAAGCACCAACTCAACCCAAAAGCTTAAGCTATTGGGTGAGGCTATATTAATGGTTTTATATATTCAACACGCCCCCTCACACAAAAGTCCACTCGATTTGAAGAGTGGACAATGCACAGGCCCACCTACTTGTGCTAAAAAGAAAGTGGGGGGCGGTGAGAATTGAACCCGAGACATGAGGCTCTGATACTATGTAAATAACTAATTCAACCCAAAAACTTAAATTATTAGGTGAGGCTATATTAATGGTTTTATATATCTCAACAAAGACTAATACATAATATATCCCTTTGCTAAAAGTTTCATCCCAGGAGTAGCTGAAGAATTTAATTGGAGCATGATAGCCCCAGAAGTGACCTAAAGCAAGAGTGTTTTCAAGTTATGTAATGTTAATAGTATGCAAAAACTTAAGCCACATTCTAGTTTAGCTTGGTAAGAAATAAAATTTGGTCTCCATCAAAACCTTCCCTCTTAATGTAAAACTTAATTTCCTGAATAAACATGATAAAAAAAGGAAAAAGCTCCAGCTGCTTGAGCAATCAAGAAAATGAAGTTCCCATTTGCTTACATGGCTAGCCAACATGTAAAGCATCAGGTTGTAAGCAGCCCCTGCCCATGCTGTTTGTGTCACAACCCCTGTAGCTTTTACAATTTGTGAAGAAAGTGGAAAAATCAGATATAGCCTCGGAAGATATTGGAAAATGATGAAAAAGCGAAGGACATTTTTTGTGTTTGCCATGGTTGAACCCCTAAGAGTTGGTATAACAATCCAAATTAACACCTGGAATAAAATAAACATAACAAAATAGCATATTTAGCATGTTAAAGCACCAACATTTTGCTTAAAAGAAAGAAAAATTTCATTTTAAGGTACCTGAGGAAGGGGCAAGGCAGCAAAAAAGTCTAACCAGAAACCTTTGCGGAGGTATCTAATTGCAATCTTAGAATATCCTAGAACAAGTTCTCCTCTCCCAAATACCCGGGAAGAAGGAGCAACATAAGCTGTACGAAACTTCATCAAAATCTGAATCATGTAAAGGACATCCCCCCCTGATCTAACAATTGTGAGAATAACTTCAAGAGTTATTCCAATATCAATGCAGGCTTCATCTCTAACTACTGGCAAATAAAAGAAGAGAGGGTCCACAAACAAAGATACTAAACATGCTACCAAGAAAATCTTGTTCCACCGGTGAATGATTTGTCCCCGGGGATCTAATGTTCTTCGTTTTACTTTGTCATAGTCCTCTGAGAATACTCTTGACAATACTCTAGCTTTCAAGAACTTTCCCGTCTTCCCTGTCATCTTCTTCTCAACCATTTTGGAACTAGGCTCAGCTATTTGTGTTCCATCAATGTTGTATTTAAGCTTTACCCCATTTCCACCATTAGTTGCGGGGATTTTTGCTAGCTCAGGATCATCCTCAAACCTAAAATATGAAAAATTAGAATTAAAAGCTTATAAATTATGAAAGGGTTCCTCATTTTTGCTGTCACTGCTGATGGAAAAACTTGCAGCAAATATATTATAATAGGATACAGAGCTAGATCCTGAAATTAACAAAAAAAAAAATAGAATACGGAACCGGATCCCGATGAAAGTAACTGTTGCTGCAAATTTTCTAATCTGCAGCAACGGGAGAGCTATTAAAGCAATTATGAAAAGCCATTTTATGTAGTATGAACTCTGAACTAGTAGTACTATATAACTCGGAACTTGAGAGATATTATAAAGGAAACACACCTTTCAGATCTTGAATGACCAAAACCCATACCGAATTTCCAGAAAGTATTACCTTGTCTTCAATCAAAATTATGAATCTGGAGAGCAAGGAAATGGGGTTAAATAAAATCGTAGCTGTTTGTTGTTAAACAAGTCATTAAAGAATGTTGAGCTTTTTAGTTTGACCCATTCATGGTTGCTAAGACCAGATTCTTGTGAACAATGGAATAGAAGATACAAAACTTGGGGATGAAGCTTTAGAGAGATTCTCCAATTTACTATCTTAGTGCAAAAAAAAAATAAAAAAAATTCGTTACGTAAAGGCAGAGAAGTCGGATATCTTTAAACTCAGCAAACAATCGAGTGAGATAACTTTTGAATATACTTATCACATCAAATGTAAATGAAAATGCAACATCGCACTTAAACTTTAGAACACTGACACATACAAAAGCAGCTTCGAACACTATTTGTAGCAACAAAGTAAAAAACACCAAAAGCATATAAAGAAGATGCCAACAAAAAGTAAATTTGGTTCTGTTCCAACAAAAAGGGAAGTGAGACAGATTCTCAAGCATTTACCTCTGCTGCAAGTAAAGCCATGCGTCATTGAACCAACTACTTCTCACATCTGCAGCTCCAGTCTAGCGCTTCCACCCTGTCTGTTTCTAGATTTGCCACCGAAGAACTAGAAACCACTTTGAGGATTGAAAAAGATGGGTCATTTGGGCAATGTAGAATAGTTGCAGAGTGAGATGAAGACTATATTTCTTTCCTTATAGTTGTTATTCTCCCTTTAAAAACTGGGGATCATGTCAGAGTCAGACCAATATTTATTAAAAAAAAAAAAGGATTCGTAATCCTAGTGAAAAAATCAAAATATAAGGGAAATTAAAGACAAATCAACCTATGCAAGGTAGGTAGCATTATAAAATTATAAAAATTAAATTTTTGGGTTGAAATGATTTTTTTATAAGGAGATTTTATGGTTAAGTGATCATGGTTTGATTCTCACCGACCTTTGGCCTGAGCTTATATGCCTAAAATTAGTTATTGGAACGGCTTGAACTTGTATGAAAGCTCGTTAAATAAAAAGGTCTAAGACTTCAATTCAAAAGCTCGGCCTTATAGTTTCTCAGACTGGCCTAGTATATTAATTTTTATTTTATATTTTTTATACTACTTGTAATAGCTCTCTGTCCTGAATCCATTTCACCCCATTTTATTGATTAAACAGACTTTTCGAATGATTTTGTTTTATATTACGTTGTTTGGATATACATTGAATTTATGAATATTTATGAAATTACTAGTGCTGTTATTAATTGTACATTCTGTTTGGATAAATTTTTGTTGTCTTATTTTTTTTAAACATGCTAAATAAGGCTTTCATTTTTTGTAAATAAGTCAGGCCACGTGCCGATAATTATATTCATAACAGGTAATATGTTGACACATTTAAACACATGCTTAGCTTTTTAAAACCAAAACTCGACTCGGCTCGGCCCGTTAACACCCCTCGAGGCCTGATGCATTGTCTATCCTTGAAGCTCAATAGGCTCTTGTGTGGGAGAGTATTTTTTGTATTACTGTCACACTCAACACTCAGAGCGATGATAATATATTAAATTTTTTGCTTTATGGACAATATATTAGTGAAATATAATATAAAAATTATGGATTTTATTAATCTCTTTTTACATAAGATAGGTATCTTATGTTGTAGAGAGAAACTAGGTGGGTCCCACCATTACAAGAAAAAGAAAAAAAAGTGAGGTGCGAAAATCGAAGTGAGAGAAAATGAGATAAGCTACCTCATGTAAAAAGAGACTAATATTTCCCAAAAATTATTAATATATTCTCACCCAATAAATTAAATTTTTGAATTAAAATGATCCTTTAACAATACTAAAAAAATAATGCAAGTTAGATTTGGCATGAAATTGTCACATGAAAATTAAGTCTATCTCCTCTCTTTATAGACACTTGTTAAAATTTGTCAATATCCACAAAAGAATAAATTCAACATTAACATCGATAATACGTTTGTTTCAAATGAATTGAATTTGAATTATAAAGAAGGATTAGTGTCTTAAAAAATGGTTATCTTTATGTGATTAACCATTGTGATTTTACAAAAGAATAGATAGTCATGAAAATTTCCCCTAATAATGTCAGGTGAAATTTTAATAAGAGATCATTTGGGGGGAAAAATATTATTAAATGATTAATGATTGAACTAGCGGAAATATATTATTTCAATTATGTATAATTGATGTGTAATTAAAAAGTATAAATTATCATGTATTAAAAAAAAGTATAAATTATCAAGATCTGTTTATAATATGAAATTATATTTAAATGAGACATTGGAGAATATTCTCCCATAATTTTCATCATTAATGAATCTTATTTCATTTCTATCTGACTATATTCTGATTCTGATTGCCGGTAAATATTTGCACACATTATGTGTGAAGAGCTTTATCCGGCATGGAAGTAGGGGCCATACACATTGACATATAGCCATAGGCATTATGGTCACTCCAAGTCTCCAACCAAACAGCTTGGTTACTACTTACTATGGTTAGGGAGAGAGAGGGAGGTTATTTCTTTCGCATATTTTAATGTGTGAATGATCCAAGGTAGAGTTGACTGCGTTAGATACGCTGTTATGGAATCTCGACACGTGTTCGTTCTTTTGTCAGTTACACTCTCCCAGGCCCAGCTCAGGTTGTCATAACAGGCGCTCAGTGGTCTCTCTTTAACTTTTGTTTTTTGTGTCAAACGGACACTAACCCAAAAGAGTTAGTGTGGAAATAATTTTAACTTAGTTTGTAATATGATAATGGAATACATTTGTTAATGACAGACGAGTGAGATAATTTTGAATTAAAATTTTCTTTCTTTGATGAAATTTTTAAATTAAACATAAGTATGAACTAAAACTAAAAATCAAGAATTGAAAATTCTTAAACTTTCAAGAACCAACAAAAATCTTCAAAATTCTAAAAACTCACAAATATTTTTGCATGCCTCATATAGGCCTACTGCCTTGGTATTTCCTCTTCTATGAAAAACTTAAGCACTCTTATAGCAGTTACTTCTGCCATTTTAGGAATTCTTTTATAGTTAAAACCTATATTGCACGGATATCGACACGAAATACGAGATATGATATGATACGACACTCTGACACATTAATTTTAAAAATGCTAGATTTATGTACAAAAAAAAATGTTAGATTTTGACACGTTAAAACACGTTTTGATATTACATAATATTCTTAATTTATGTAGTATATATTATACTTAATGTTCAATAATTTAACAAAAAAATAAAGTTAAACTTATAATATCCATCAATTTTGTAAATAAACATAAGATATCTCATATATTTATATTAAACTCAATAGAATGATAATTAGTAATCTAATGAATCTAATAATTGATATTAAAAATGCAACGCAACCTTCGAACTCTTTTTTGAGTCTCTGCAACACGTGTTGGAGTGTCAAAAAATGTCAGAGAGTATCAGAAAGTGTCGGACACGACACATTAAGGGAGTGTTTGGTAGGAGGTAAAAAAAATTGTCTGAGAAAATAGGATAGAAAAAAATAGATGGCCATGTTTGGTAGGAGGAAGAGTTAAAAGGGGTCTGGACACAATTTTTTCCCATCTAATTTTTTTACACGTGGACCTAGGGTAAAATTTTACCATGGATGGGGTGGAAAAAAATGTTTCCTCCACGGTGGTAAAATTTTACACATAACATTAGTAAAATACATCTAATTTTTTCGGAAAACTTTTGGCCTACTACACACCTTTTTTTAACTTACTTGGCAAAAAATTCTTCTCACCATATTCTGAGTAAATTTTTTTTCTGATAAAAAAAAAATTCTCATATACCAAACGCCCCCTAAGTATTTTGAAGTGTCGGAGTTAAAACTTTTTATTTGAAAGGTTACAACAAAAATAACTTATTTCTTTTTATATTAGTGTAATGGCAGAAATTTGCTCAATTTGTGTTGGAGATAAAGATAAAAATATGAAAATCACATTATATTATATTAGAGATATCTGATTCTAATTTTGGCAGATTATGAAAATCATATTTCATCATATTAGAAATATCTGATTTTGCATGTACTATTTATAATTGATTTCATTGAGTCCAAGGGTGAGGATCTGAGGCATTTTAATGCATATCTCTCAACAATCCCTTGTTCTTTGAATTCTTACGCTTAAAGAGCATCATTGTATCCTTAAAAATTAATAATAAAATGAACACTTGCCCCATTGGGAAGGTGTAATGAAAGCCGCAAACGCTAACATAGAAGATGAGTACGCAAATCCGGGTGACCAAAGAGGCCACAGCAATTCACAAGTAGAATTAGTTGGTTATCAGGGTAGGCCAGTTGTTTGTAAATAAGAATGTTAAAATGAACGGAGCTGAAAACGTAAATAATTTAATAAAATATATTAGCGCTGGCAATATGGGTCGAACCCGTCGGGCCAGCCCATTTAACTTATTGAAATTTGTAGGTTGGGTTATGAGTCTTAACTCACCAACCCAAAGTAGCCCGCCCCGTTTACAAAAAGAACAAAACGGGTTGATCATGATTCGGGCCGGGTTGGCCCGACGGGTTCATTTTTTTAATATTCAATTTTTTTTATTTTTTTAATACACAAAAAATAAAAGTACAAAAATTAACATTGTCGATTGCTTTTATTTGCCCTAATTTTACACACCATGCTGTTCCTCCCCTTCTATTTCTCCTTGTCGTTCCTCGCCGCCGTTCCTCACCGGTCTTTGTTCCTGCCTTCGATCTCACCATTCATCTTCGTTCCTCTCCGCTTAGATACCATTCAGCGTGATAGGCCAACTGTGGTGTCTGAACTTTTCAAGTTATTCCTTTCAGATCATATCATCCAACAAATTATACCAAATAACAGAGACCATTTTGCACTACCTGTTCTTTCACTTGTGAGCTTTGGACGAGATCCCTTTCTCTCCCATTTTCCGATCTCTCTCTCTCTATCTTCTACCG